ACCTAGACTTCATCCTTGAGAGTGTCGCAGTGATACCATCAAACCAATTATGATACTAACTTGGACAGGATTTTTCACTCTAATGATTGCTCAGACTCTGTTACTTTATATTATATAAAGATTATTAGTATTAGGTTAACTTACAAAAAGATTAAGACAAAGAGGATGCCTTTGAAATTTATATTTGTTGTAAACAATTTAATACTATTGTATAATATTAATATTTATATTAATATTAATACTAAAATTTTTATATGATAAGAAAAGGCCTAATAATTGAGTGCTCCAAAAAAAAGAAAATAAAGAACAAAGAGATGATCTCCATATTTTCATGATTTAACACACTTATATGGAAATTATTAATTGTTTCACATATTACTCATTTTTAATTGCTTCACACATATTATTTGTTCCTAAAATAATACTTCCGTAAATGTGCACCCTTGGTAACACTGTAACAGAGTATAGCAATAAATGCTCACATCCTTCCTAAAATAATACATGTGGACCTTTGGCAACACACGTATAGTAATTAAATATTAATTGCATCATGGGCGGCATTTTTGGGCGGCATTTTCCTCTATAATAATGGTAGCATTAAAATTCCTATAATGACCTTCTTTTGGGCGGCATTTTTCCCTCCAACAATTATGCAGAGACTGTTACTTTATAGAGAAATTGCCCAATATAGGAATAAACATAAACATAATTGCACAAATAGGAGTGAAACTTAAAACTTCCTTCTATAGGAGTAAAAATTAATTTTGTACCCTTAATACCCCTAAGCTAGTTAATTCCAAAATATGACTTATTTAACCTAATAAAATATTAAAAAAATCTAAAATATTTGAAAAAATATATTGAAATAAAAAAAATAAAAAAAAATATTTAAAAAAAATAAAAAATAAAATAAAATATATATAAACCACATTAAAAAATATAAAAAAAATTATGCAGGCCTTTGCCGCAACCTCGGCCATCACCCAGCAATGTCACCTCCGATCGGCGGAAAAATTGCCATTTTATGTTAAAACTTCCATTTTTATTTGACAATGCCATAAAGATGGCAGTTTTGCTCTTTGAAATGCCAAATTTTCTCAAAATCTGCCATCATGATGGCATTTCGAAAAATGTTGCCAAATTTTCTACATATGTTTTTTTTAGTTTTTAATTTTTTAATTTTAATTTTTTAGTTTTTTATTTAATATGTTTTATTTTAATAATTTTTATTTTTATTAATTTTATTTAACAGGAAGTATGTTTTATTTGATATATTTTTGTGTTTTTTCATTTTTTTTACAATTTTACTGTAAATTAATGTTATTCCTTTTATGTTTTAATTATTAATGAAAGTTGTTGGGGCTTGGGTAGAGATATACTTGTCTAAACACTAAAGTTACTCCTGTTCAAAACATGGTACTCCTATTTTTGCATTTTGCCTATCTTTTACTCCTATTTAGGGAATTCTCTCACTTTATATTATATAAAGATTATTTAGTAAAAAACCAAGTGCAACTGGCCAGGGCCGACTCAATAGATTAGGAGACCCAGTACAAATCACATAAAATAGGCCTTATATTAAATAAATATAATTTAAAAAGCAACCTTTCAAAATATCCCAATAAAGACTACAATTAAATGTGACATTGAGATATAATCATATTTCAAACCTGAACAACCAAAATCGGTAATAAAAAAAACTAAAACGAAAAGAAATGAATTAAAATCCTGAACTAAAAAATACAGAGTAGGGATATTGCTGAAAAAACTACTCCCTCCGTCCCTTAAAATCAAGCTCGTCCAAACTGTACGAAGAGTTTGTGCTAATTACTATAACTAGGCCTTATCCAGGCCTTATGTAATAAAGAACTTGCACATTTATACTATCGTAATTACATATAAATATTAATATTTAATGTTTGTATTTAAAAACAAAATACTAAAATAGCAATCTTTAATCAAATAAAAAAATATTTTGTATGTTGTGTAGACTATATTTAAAATTTTGGGCCTTGTGCGGTAGCACTTCTTGCACGCCCTCGTCTACAGCCCTGCAACTGGGACTGACCGATCGATTGGGACTAGGGCTGAGCAAAACCCGATCCGACCCGAAAAACCCGATATTTTTTTCGGATATTATCCGAACCAAAGTGGATATCCGACCCGAAAAACCCGAAACCGAAAATCCGATTAGTATTGGGCCTAGACCGGGTGGCGGGTAGGGTTTGTGAAATCCCAACCCGACCCGCCCGAATATCCGAAATATATGTTAGTGTGTACTTTGAATATTTAAATTAATACCTGTGTTCAATTATTTGTGTAATTATTTGTGCAATTTGTATTAAATTATTTGTGTAAATTGAATGTGTAGTGAACTAGTGTGTACAATTTTCGTTAAAGTGGCATTCCAACACTTTAACTATCCAATTATAATGTGTTTTGATATAACCAAAATATCCGAAATATATTAAATTATGTAGTGTGTAATTTGAACAGGTTAAATTAATACTTGTGTTCAATTATTTGTGTAATTATTTGTGCAATTTGTGTTAAATTATTTGTGTAATTTGGAAGTTTAGTGCACTAGTGTGTACAATTTTTGTCAAAGTGGCATTTAAGCACTTTAATTATCCAATTATAATTTTTTTTAATATAACCGAAATATCCGAAACCCGACCCGATATCCGATAATATCCGACTTAAAAATATCCGAAATACCCGATTTGAAACATCAAAGGGTCGGGTCTAGTATTTAATTAAAAAACCCGAACGGGTTTAGGGTTCGCAAACCCGACCCGCCCGAACCCGACCCGTGCACACCGCTAATTGGGACCAACTTGGAACCAGATTAATAAGGGAGGTCCAGGGCCCTGCAAATTTTTCCCACCGCAACCCATATGAGTTTAGTTCAGCTCTAACGTAAGGGTTACAACTTACAAATCACAATACCCTTTTGAAAACGTGTACACCCAAGCACAAGATATTTTTTTTTCGAAATGGAAAAGACTTAAAATAAATACGGCATGTTATTTTACCATTCTAACCTCAAAAAGTAAGAAAAAGTAGATTGATCCACAAAAGAAAAATATGAAAGGATATATAAATGGATAAAATGTGAAAGTAAAAGTCAAATGGAATTTAATTTAGGAAAGTAATCATATTTTTTCAACAACCTAAAAAGAAAAATGTCATTACAAAATGGGACGAAGTAAACAAGAGGTTCAGTTAGTAAAACCATGGGGGAGGAGGTGTGTTTGGCATTTAGCGGATTATGTTAACGGTTTGTCAATAGCAAATTCAATCAACGAGTTTGACTAGCGGAATACGTTGATGGGTTGCCAAAAGATGTTTAATAATTTAAATGTTTGGTCATAACAATTAGTAGAAAGTGCCATATTTTAAAAATGATAACCCAAAACTCCCTTATTTGCAGCATTTCATTTCAGCAGTTCCATTCAAAAACGCTAGAGCCAAACAGCTATTTACCAAACAACATTTTCACCCATTGAAAATGTTCACTTATTGAAAATGCTAAAAAGATGTCAAACCGTCATTTTTGACTGAAACGCCATTTTCTAAACACCCCCTAAAACCGAACTTTTAAGTTTGGTTCGGTCACATATTGGTTCTACAAATAATGTGTAAGAACCGAATCGATATTAAAACTTCGGATTTTTTAAATGGTTCAACAAGTTTTGTCTAAAAACTAAACCGATCGCAAGCCTAAGACAAATAAAATCTACTCTCCATCATTTGCTTTGTACTCTCCAACATGGGTTTTGCCATGAGTATTACTAAAACCTAGACGATTGACAAAAAAGTGATTTTCTACTTTAATAAAATCTACTCTCCATCATTTGCTTTGTACTCTCCAACATGGGTTTTTTACTTGGACTGTAATTTGCTGGTCTGGTCTGATCTGGTCTGGTTTCTTTGTATTTTTATAACTATACAAATCTGGTCTAGTCTGGTCTGGTCTGAACTGGTCTGGTCTGATCTGGACTGGTCTGGGACAAATTACAGTCCAAGTAAAAACATCCTAACACCACAATATATCCCTATTACAGTGACAAACGAATAGTTACGCCCTTCCAGTGACAAAGTACGGCTACCTTAACTCCGAGCACCCTGGCTTCGACCGTCGTGACTCTGGTGACGGTGACACAACGACAGTGACCTCACCGAACAGTCGGTGACCACTGCCATCATGCCGGTTCCCATCCCCTACCATGGTTCCTACCACTGCCACCCACTAACCACTACCCCCCACACCTCTCAATCATAGCCCACCCATAGCAACCATAGCGAGAAACCCAAACCGCCTGGCATCAGATATGGAAAGCTAGTCGCCACCGTGACCACCGCCGCAGCCACGCTCCCTCCCTTTCCCTAGCCCCCTATCAGCTCAACTTCGATCCAGCAACCGCCCCAGCCCCTGCATATTTAGCCACACCACTGCAACAGTGCAACACCCAGACACCAATCTGAGCCACACCCAAGCAATGGAATCGTGGTCTCCAATCGCCTCCGACGCAACTGAACCCCCAATTAATGTCTATCACCGCCGGAAATTGAGAATATCCATTCGTAATCGCCATCCTCTCTCCATCATCAGTTCTCCACCATCGTCAGGCTGCCACCATTGCTAGGTTGTAGCCATCGCAAGTCCTGAGATCCTTCGCAGAAGAAGAGAAAGAAGAAAATAGAAAAGCAACGTGCAGAATACAGATGAGGACAACAGATGGTTGGTTAGAGAAACGGAACGGAATAGGGTTGTAAGGTATTGTGACCAGTTCATATATTTACAGTCAGTTTTTGGTCTAAATGAGTTTATGGTCATATTTTTGTCTATGCAAAAGCCATTAATAATATTTTTGACATTATTCCTTCAATATTATTCTCCGCTCTCCCTAAATCAAACAAGGGGTGGAGATGTCAATCACAACCAAACTTATGTTTGCTCATCCCAACTCAACCTACACGGGTTACTTTTTGGGTAATAGTGAATAGTAAGGGTTCAAATTAGCCTTTAAGTTCGTATATCACTCAATAAGTTAAATCACATACAAATTCCATTTTTTCATTCAAACATATCAAGCGTTTTTTTTAAGGAGCATTTCAAGCGTTCTTTTTCCTTCTTGATACATGAAAGTTGAAGGCAAAGAGAAGTGGCATGAAAAAATGCTATCCATTGACAAGATGTCAAGATTCAAACCTTTCCTTGAGAGTGTGGTTACTTCAGTCCTCGTCCTTCTGTTCCTAGTATGACACGAGAAAAGGGATGACCATTGACAGGAACTCATCATAACTCAACTTAGCAGACCCTGTATACCCCACATCCTTCTCTTTAAACTTCTCTGTCAAACCCTGCAAAAACAAAAACAGTAAAACACCAACAGGTGGGTTGCAAGCTGATTCATTGTTCTGTACATTCACAAAAAAAAGGAAAAAAATGTTGGGAAAGCATGATGAGGTATGCCATCAAATTCAAATCTTTTAGGAGTGTCAAATCTCATACAGAAAAGATCCTCAGAAATTTGAATGTCACGCTGCTATTTATGAGTTATTGCTCTTACACTTTAGTTAACTACTAGTATTACTTACTCCCTCCATCCTAATGTTTTCCTCCCGCTATGACTTGAGATGATTACTAAGTAAAAGTGTGGGGTTAAAGACCTATGGTTTATATATAAATTGGAGAAAAAATCTCAACCTCACAATTCTTGTGAAAAAAACGGGAATAAATTTTTAGGGTGCATGCAGTAACACAAAGACTAAATATGAATATCGCTGCCTATTTAACTTTGATTTCAAATGTCGATTCATGTTAGCCAACCCCAAACTCTTTCGGGACTAAGACTTAGATTTTGTTGTTCTTGTTGAAGGGGTAACATATAAAGACTAAGCCCAGCCTTTTCATAGATCAAGACTCCCTTTGGTATCCTTATCAGGCTTATTCCTTTAATCAATAAAATAATTAGCTTTTCACTAACACATTTGCCTTTAATGGATTCTACCAAATGCTTTTCCTTTCAGAAAATTCAGAAGATTCAGCCCATATCAGCAACAAAACAAATAATAGTGCAAAAACCTTTCATACAGGCCTGGGACATTTCTTCCCTACTCCGCATATTAATAGTGCACATTTCCAGTACGCTGCTTTGGGTATGATAACCTTGCATACAGACTTAATCTAATTATTAAATAACACATTGGTTAGATATATTATTATATGGTTATAACTCAAAGTAATCCACAAAGAGTTGTATGTGCGAGAAATACTTTATGTACTCTTGACTTAGCAGTGCCAATTATCCAAGGTAAGTGTATGACCAACATAAGCTGAGATTACCATGTTTGCTTCACGTTTTCATATTACTATTACCACAACGACATGAGATTAAATCCACGTAGTAAGATTAGTTTGGTAATATTTTGGAATATTTCAGTTTTGACCCTTATCTTTATTATAAATTATATTAGTAACACATTCCATAAACCAAACAACTTAAGGTAATGATTCTCGCAACCTCACATGGTCTTCCTGGAGGTAACCTTAGGTCACATGAACCAAACATCCCATTGGAGTTTTCTTCATAGGAAATATATCACTTGTTTGGGATGAAGAAACCCCTTTGAAGTGAGCTACTCAAATTGCATTTTTCCTAGAAATTTTCGGATTTGGTTTGTATAAATCGTGAGAAACAAGTAGACCATTCATTTGAAATCAATTCACAAAAGGAGGGAGAGTACCTTAAAAATCATCCCACATCTGCATCCACAAGAAATCTAAGTTAGTTAAAAACATGGCAAACATATACAACCGAAAATTGTTCTATCTTCTTGTGTGGAGAAGATCAAAAGCCTGGCTGGGACAGAAAAAGAAAGACTTACTCAACAAAACTATCAAATTCCAGCCCAGCACTGTCGCCATCGTATTTGGAAACCAGAAGTTGAAGGACGGGAGAAGGCACCAAATACCCAAGACTGTAGAGAGCATCTCTTAGTTCTCTTCCATCAATTCTCCCACTCCTATCTCTGTCGAACCTCTCAAAGGTTTCCTAAACAGCAGTTCGATTGAAATACATGCACTAACTAAGTGTGGATGTAAGAGAGATATTGGAGAGAAGTACTCATGAGAAACTACTAGCAATGGGAAACAACTTACCTCACTATCCTTCACAAAATCAAAGTAAATCAAATAAATCATTACCTTAATAGTTCAAATAACATAACAAAACATCTTTCTGCACCTATTCTAATGCTGCAAATGACCTTGAAACGTCCTTAGGTTATTATAATATGCAAGTTTAGAGTTGTACCTTAATATTGTAATATTACAATGTGCAAGTTTACAATATCCTTGCATAAAATCATAGCCCAAGGTTTTAAATCTTTTTTGTGGAAAATATTGCATTTAGGTAAGTCATTTCCTTAGCTGCTGCGAATCCATAACTAAATTCTAATTCTACATAAATGGATTGAACCAATTGAGGCTCAAATAACCCTCCGAATGAAAGAGGAACCGGTCACAGTGGTTTGAAAATAACAAATTTTCTGACATTAATTAATTTTGAAAAAAAGAAATAAATTCAATAAAACTAAATGAGGATGAAAAACTGCCCACCCTCCATTGCCCCAGATAACTCCACAGAGCTGCAAACTCCTTGGGCCCTGTTAACCCAAAGCAAAAACAAATAGCAGCAATTACACGAATATGTCATCTATTCAGCTCTAAACAAAAAGTTTTATTGCATAAATAATTAATTAAAGACAGATAACGAACCAATTCTGAGAGAAGATTCATTTGGGTTCTTAAAGAGAAAAATGAGCAAACGGACTGTCCTGAGACTGAACTTTTGGTAACCCGAAGCGAGGGCCTGTTGGAGCTCCTTGTCTTCAACGAAACCGCTACGGTCCGAATCCACCATTTGGAAGCTCCGTATGACATCCGGATGAGTGCCCCGAGGAAAAGCAATATGCGAGTCGTACCCATAGGATGGACTCGGTCCATAACTGCTGCTACTTTGAAGATGAGGCTGAGATGAAGGAGGAGGAGGAGCATAGCTGGGAACGGAATAAGTTGTCGGAGCATAGCTGGGAACGGAGTAATTTGTCGGGGGGTGGAGGGACGAGGTAGAAGGTGCGGGATGATATGGGTGAGAAAGCTGGGGCTCGTCAGTGGCGGCGGGTAAGGGCGGAGCTGAAGGGGAGAAAGATTCTCTACCGCCGTAACCGTAGGAAGCCATTGTTGAGCCTTGATCGAGAAGGGTTGTTGTTCTGTCTTGTGCCGGAAGAATCGGAAAAAACTAACCGTACTGCTTCCTAGAACAATCAATTTCCGTTTACCTGCCAGTCTGCCACGTGTTTAATAAGTGATACCTCGTACATCTGTATTTTTTTACAAAAATGCTAAAGGTACCTCAAATTTGTACCCTAATTTGTATCTCTCTCTATTTTTGTGGCTCGCAAAAGCAAATTATTAAAGTGCAAAAGCAAATTATTAAAGTGCAGCAATTCATTTATTGAAATGAGCTTTTTTGAGCCGCACAAATAGGCTGGGGTACAAAATGAGGTACCTATAGCAGAGTTGATTTTTTAAGGGGGTGTTTGGAACTGCTTCTGCTTCTTTTTTAAAGCAGAAGCAGAATCAGAATCAATTTTCAGAAGCTGGTCACCCCCAGCTTCTAAAAAAACTGATTCTAGGAGCAAATTTGAGTACCAAAATCACTTTTGCACTTTTACCCTAACACCCCAGCTTCTGCATCTGCTTCCTGAAGGCAGAAGCAGTTTTAAGAATCAGATCCAAACACCCCCAAATTGTTCATGCTTCTATATTACTCCCTGCATATATTTTAATATACATTTGAATATATTTCAAAAGTTTCATTTCAATGAGTTATATTTAAACGTTGCTTGATACGATTTACATTTCATATAATTCTGGGAGCAGGAATACAAGATGTTCACCCTACACCGCTTCCACAATATAGCAACTCCGATATACTCTGTACTTCCTAGTAGTTCCTATGTTTTTTTACGTGTGACCCTAGACTCCTAATCTATCCTAATCTGTTCACTATGATTCACATGATCTACGCAAACCATGTTTTGTCTATAAACCATGTGTTCAAAAAGCACCCTAACGAAATGGTGTTTATGAATTAAGACGTGTATAAATGGGATGTAGTATAAATATTTTAAAATGGTAACTATGTTTTTTACTATGTATTATAAAAACATGGCTAAATGGTCAAATAGGTCATCAAACTAACTTAAATAGTACAATTCACCTCTTATATAGGTGGTTGTGTTCGACCGTCGCCAATTGGGGCGGTGCCCAGTGGGAATTTTTAATGAAATTTTCTGAGCATTAAGTCTAGTTTACTCATACCAAATTTCAGCTAAAATTCAATCGAGAAGACAGTCAAATGAATTTTTGAAGATACTTCGATGTTAAATAGCACAGCACATTTCAGAAAATCATTTGACTGTCTTCCCGGTTGAGTTTTTATCTGAAATTTGATATGGATAAACTAGACTTAATGAAGAAGATTCTCAAAACATTTCATCAAAGAATTCCATCGGAAACCGCCCCAATTGTCAACGGCCGGACAGAGCCTCCTATATAAGAGGTGAATTGCACTATTTAAGTTAGTTTGATGGTCATTTGACCCTTTAGCCTAAAAACATATTAGCATTTGATACTAATAAAGTTGCATTAGTCATGTGTTATTGAAAAAATGGACAAGAATAATCTCAATTATAAGTGACCCCCTTGAAATAATTCAAAATATCAATTATCTCAAAATAATCCCACCTATTGAAAAATCATTTCAAAATAGTTGGAATTATTTTAAGATAATTGATACGGAGTACTTTGGATTATACATAGTATTAAGCAGATTACCACTAGTTGAGATTATTTTTGTCCATTTTTCTATGTTATTTAGACGATAATTTATTTGTATTATAAAATCATTAATCGGACTAATTACCTTCATTTGTATTATGAAATCATTAATTGGACTAATTACCCTATACTACTATTTTATTGATAAGCAAACACGTCTTAGCGGCAAACAATGGAGGACCTAGGGGGTGGGACAAGCGCCCCCGCTTTCGGTCCCAAAAGTCAACTTTAGTACTTAGGTCATAGAATCATGCCTCTGCTTCTAGTCTAATCAAACAAATACTAATTTCTTAGAGCATCTCCAATCCTTGGAGTCCATTGTTGTTGATGTGGCAAAATATGAGCTTGGTCCATTGAGTGTGTGAGCCAAAATTTAAAAAGTGAGAGGGTCCATTCATATATCTCTCCAATGCAAGGAGTTGAAAAGAAAATAAAAAAGAGGAAAGAAATATAAAGTAAAAGGAAAATGATGCATTCATTTAAATAAGTGGCTAGGAATGTTTAAAGACCCACAAACAAAATTTTAGCTTTGGTAGAGGGTTGGACCTAGGGTCTCAATTGAGACCTTGTGCTAGACATTGTCTATTTTCTCTCTCTGCCACCTCAACAAAACTAGACCCATTTAGTTTTGCATTGGAGAAGGGATTTCATCTATGAAGGTCTATTTGATGATGTGGAAATGCAATAGACTCTTGCATTGGAGTTACTCTTAGATGATTGTTTGAGTAGTAGAAGTTGCTAAAGAGAAGTTGCTTAGAAATAATTTTTTATGCAAAACTCAAGGAATGTTAGGGTTTCGGGTATTATCTAATGCGATAAAATAATGTATCTCTGAAACACAAGTTTGACTCGTTTAGGTAATAGTAGCGGTATTTGGATACGAGCTTCAAACTTGAGAAGCTATACAAGTGGGGTTTGGATTGGCTTAATTCATGCTCGATGTTTTATTTAAGCTCTACAAACATGTACGGATGTAAATGTCAATTTTTGTGCTCGTTAATAGATGTGTGCTCGAATTATTTGGTGAGTACTTGAATATTTAACCAAAGTAATATTTCCTTCCGTCCCTAAATAAACTTCCAATTTTTTCCCGTCCGTCCCAATTAAATTTTAACTTTCTTTTTTGGTAAAGAATTTGTGATTCACGGCTGATGGATAGTCTACCAGGGGGGTATCTTATCCGAAGAGTTATTGCGGGGATAACTAGAGAGAAGTCAGAGCAAAATAGGAGGAGAGAGAGTCGATTTATTAAATGAACTCTGCGTGTGAGATCTGGGATCGTTTACAAGGAGAAATGGACTGCTATTTATAGCAGCAATAAATGCGATGAGAGCACACGTGTCAGTAATCCAACGGCCGAGGGGTCACATCAATCGGGGTGGCACCGGCAGTGGCACGTTCACCGCATTGAATGCGGTGGGTGGATGTGACGTCGCATTAAATGCGGTGGTTGGCTGTCTCCAAAGGGAATCTTCAATGATTGAGCCTGTTTAGCCGAAGGCTCTTCACGCAGCCGAGGGCTTCATGTAGCCGAGGGCTCTATATAGCTGAAGGCCTGGTTTCTGCTGTTTTCTTCCAGTGGTTTCGTATGCTCAAATCTGGCTGTCATGTGAGATTTGGAGCCTTCGGCCGAGGAGGCCGAAGGCACCCCAGTGTGTATTCTGGGCTTCTTCGAGGTTTGGGCCGCTGCATTTGGGCCTGAGATGTTCCTTGGGCTCAATGGGCCTGTGTAGGAGAAGTAGGAGTCCATGGGCCGGGGATTCCTGGGCCATATACTCCATCAACGGCATTTCTTACACACTTTTTTCTCATCTGCACAACTCTTCATCACATAATACCAACATTTTAATTCTTGTGTCATTTGTACTATGGAAGCTTTGTTAGGGACGAAGGGAGTATTGAATAACAAAAGCAAATGCAATGAATATAAATGAAATAACAAATTTGACAATGAATTGTCAAGGATTGATATGGCTATTAACTGCCTATTATTTATGGCTCCGTTAAGTATTAACATAACTGGTAATAAAATTGCTCTGAGAAGGGTTTTGTCGATGATTTGCCAAGGTTTAGCGAAGTTTTGTTAAACCCCAACCAAAATATATGCAAAAGTGGTTTTATCACGAAAAATTTAACACGTAATAAAAAAATGAGTCAATTTGTGATAAATTAGTGCGAAATTAAACCCCTTATTTTTTTACAATGCAATATGATAAATCTTATTATCTTAACATGTAAAATCAAATTATTAAATCGAATTGTGTTAAAGGAAGAAATAGTAAACCTGAATGTACTAGATCCAAATTTTAACCATTTATAATATCAAAATTAAATGGATGCTAAATCCAAAATAAAAAATAGTATAGCCAGGTAGGGATATGATGATTCAGTTCTAATACGAACTACTACCTCGTTCTTAAATAAATGCAACATATGAAACTTTACACTATTCACATGTTCTATTTTGACTACATTTTATTTATTAATGTATTAATATATTTTTATGAAAAAAATATTGTTAAATTTGTCTCGTTGTAAATTTTCAATATCTCATTTTTATTATGTTTTTTACTAATATAAATTTATATATATTAATGGTCAAAGTTGTGTCTCGGCAAGTGTGAAATGTTGACCCTTGCATCTATTTAAGAACAGAGAAAGTATGTTTTTCTTCCAAAAAAACCAAATATTATTGTGTAGTCATCTTAATAATTTGAAAACTAAACTTAAGATTTATAGATATATGCATCACTTGAAAGTTGAAACCAAAACTAATTAATCTACAAAACTGACCAGTGTCAACTGTCAAACCCGACCCGTTCCTCCATGCGACCGTGACCCCTTAAAAAACTTCTGGGTCCACCGCTACCGCAAAAAGTATTACTACGTAATCAAATTTCAAAATGAAAGATAAAAGTGCTGCTACAATGCTGTACATACTCAATAATCGTCTGATGAAAAGAGAAATAGAAGAGTTTTAGTTATTGAATTTAGTTTTTATTGCATTGATTCATTCTTATTTTAGTAACAGCTCCCTCTAAATAACCATGTTTCAAGCATTTTAGTTTTTCGAAAAAAGACATTCTATTAAAACAAATCTAAATTCTCAGTAAAAGGTGAGTTACAAAGTATCTACAAACACTTGAAGCATGGAGGGAAATCACAACTTCCAAGTTCCAACGCCTGGGCTTTCACTTGCTCATACTTTCCAACCAAATACAGAATGTGTCCTTGTGTTTTCTATCTGTTTCAAGAAATTATTTGTTACATCATTGTATTGCATTTCATTTCATATATTCCAACACACCTTGATGAATTTCTTCAAGAAAGGACACAAAGCCCATGATACTTGTGAACCCATTCCCTTCTACATCCTGCTCCTCTATAAGAAAATTCTCAAACACCGTTGCATCATCATGTCCCGCTCTGATAAATAGGAGTT